GGCACTGTCATGGGGCTTCCATAGATGACATAAAGAGCCTGTCACAGCCGAGTAAATTTAGATTTGGTTTAAAAATGACCGATCGTGCAAAACAAAGTTTGATTTTTTTTTTCATCCAGAAGAAAGCAGAGCATCTGGCTGAGAATGGCTGTCACAAGGCTGACGAGATCACTGCTGAATGACCAGAGAGTAGCTACATGCATTTGGCATCATGTTCAGGTTGGTGTACATGTGTACATGTTTGTACTGCAGGGACAACATGCTACAATGTTCTTGTAGGTCCTATGTTAAAATCAATAGATGTAAGAAATTCAAGTAAAGCGTTTATGCGTCGCTGGTGCCTTTTTGATTTAGTTCCAGTGAAGAAACAAGATTTACTTGAGCTTGTCCTAGTGTTGCAAAGCCCTTGCCTTCCGACATCATCTTAATACAAAAGGCCACATTGTTTTATTGGTTGGATTACGAACCCACTGATGCCAAATAATGCAATTTTAGAAAAAGAATAAATTTTTTTTTAAAAATCCATTTTTTTTCATGTGGTGTTTTAGAATTTTTAAAAAACCAATAATGGACTAAAGGTTTTCTCCTCTGACCTTTCATAAATTAATTTTTGGGGAAAAATGGAACTTCAGAGTTGTCATAGTTTCTTTTCTGCCCTCCGTGCCTGCAAAATTTGGTGCTGTGCTTATAATTCAATACATAAAAAATGCTGGCCTGACCTCTATAATTCAGATTTTGTCTTTCTGCTCACCATCCTTGGAATTGTTATAGCTTAAGAATTCCAAGTTAAAGATGACTGTGTTCAAATCTTTCATCTTTCGCCCAAAATTATAAGAGAGAATTAAAAAAAACTGTAATGGAGATAATTTTATGTGTTTGTGGTCCCTTTGTGATAACTTGCAGCAAAACTGTACTTTTCCCATGTTAACATTGAGCATGTACTTCTGTTAGTCAAAGTGGTCCACACTTGGTCAAACTAAGGGTGGAACCAATTTTTTTGGGGGGGACCAACAATTGTGAAAATACCGGTATCTTCCTGCATCTTTTCATGGCCTTTCTGAGCTGTGAAGCTACATTTGGGGCCTTTTTTTTAGATGCTTAGGGAAGAAAGAGAAAGGAAATAAAGCAAAATATTGCATTGCCCACATGTTTTTATTTTATATTTTTGGGGGCTCTGTTTGGGGGGGGCATGGCCTCTGTTGCCTACCCCTTGAATCTGCCCTGGTGTCAAACTGCCCAATATTACCCTTTGCCTGTGTTCTTGTTTTGTCAAACTTCTCAAGTCTGAATGATGAAAAACTTCACTGTTTTGAGGCAAAAAGAACATGTGCATGGATTCGATGATTGATTTATATTATTATTTACAGCCCTCCATCTGGTTTTCCTGTTGCTTTTTTTGTTGCATGCACAGTGGTCCAGTTTGCACACATGCACCACTGCAACAGGACCGACACTCACCTTGTCATGTAGCCATCGGTGGAGGACAAGAAATTACAACCAACCACATCCGAGAGCATTCTCTAACATGGCAAGGTTGCAGGACTTTTGGGGAACGGCACCAGTAACTTTTCATCTTCCCTCCCACAAAACCGCTCTTGCAAAGTCCGCCTGCCCTGCAATTTCCTTTGTCTCTTCCCGGACGTTACCACGCCGATGTTTAAGTGTGGAGTCCAGCAGTTCTTACGGCTACATCCCAACGCCCGTTGAGTGTAGTTATGAGTTTCTGGAGCGCTTGCAGGAGACGTCTGCATTACCGTGGTGGTTGACCATCCTCGCAACCACACTACTCGTGCGCGGTACGCTGGTGCTCCCGTTCGCCGTCTGGCAGCAGCAAGTTCTAGCCAAGATCGAGAATGTCCAGCCGGAGATAAACACTCATGCTGAGCACATGAAGCAACAAGTTGCGTTGATGGCAAAGGAACTGAATTGGTCACAAAAGGAGATGGCTAACTTCTATAGTCAACAGGTATACACGTATCGTGGGCGTTTTCACGAAGTGACAAAACCTCAAAATCTCGCCAAATGGACATTCCAAGATCAATGCTTTTGAAAATACCAGTTATTTCAATATGCATTTTTGATCACTTTTATGTTACGGATTAAGGAATTGTTTGCATTACAGCTAAGCTAATTTGAGTAATTGAATTTTTGAATATTCGACCTTCCATTAGAATGAAAAATTCAGTCATACCAAACTCTTATTAAAGAAGAAAAGAATATAAAATGGATCTTTTTACAAAAGTAAAAAAAATTCAGGTAATTGTCATCCTAATAGTTGGCGTATGTACACATTCAGCTGTCTGCGTTTACTTGTGACCTTGAAATGTGCATATAGAATTCCATTTTGTAACCAAATAAGCAGTGTTGTAGTCTAGTACTTTTTTCCGAGTACCAAGTACTGCCGAGTACTTTGACTTCCGAGTACAAAGATAGGGCGAGTACTTTGCCAGCCGAGTACAAGTACTGGTTTCCGAGTACAAGTACTTAAGTACTTGCACTTCCGAGTATGAGTACAAGTACTTCTAATTCAGAGTACGAGTACTTCTAATTCAAAAATAGTTTTATCTTAATTTAGAGACTCTTAAGACCTGCCACTGTGTAAAAGAAACACCGAATGCAGATGGCATGACTACAAGAACAAGTGATCTGGCTAGCAATGTTACGGTCACTACGCGTGTGTTGCAGCAGTTGACACAACGTGCACGGCGCGGCAAAGTCTATTTTCCAGACTCAATTATTCACATGCCTGTGATTTTCTGTATGCTGGGTTCGTTGTTAAAATTTTCGGGTCCAGGAACCAGACTACCAATGCCCAAGTAAATTGCGTGACCATTCTGGAGTACCACAATATAATTTGCATACGTGATTGGTTTAAGTACGCGCACAGACGCCAAATGGGTCGTATGTCTTAATGGTCCCACGTTCGGCCTTCTCATTGTCAGAACCATGTCGAATATCGGGTCATTGGAGTCGATATTTTTGTACCTTATTTTAACGGTCGTGCGTGGTAAGTTAACTTAAAGGATTTTTTTATCGAGTACTGTTAATCGAGTATGAGTACTTTGATGCTCGAGGACAATTTTTGGATGTTGAGTTCCGAGTATTTTGTAGCCCGAGTACAAGAACTGTAGTTCGAGTACGAGTACTTGGATGTCTGAGTACGAGTACTCTGAAAACGGTACTCGAGTAGTACTTGAGTACGAGTACCGAGTACGAGTACTACAACACTGCAAATAAGTTAGATCTTTCCTTTTCATTTCAGGGCGTTTCACCCCCGAATATTTTGATGATTGATTGAATATCCAAATATTCATATAATCGGCATATTTGTAATGTGCGTGAAAGATTCCCCCCCCCTAAAAGTGAAGTGATAATGTTAGATGTGAACCTTCATTCTCAGGTTAAATTCATTGTGAAGAGACTACATTTTGACAACAGATGCCAGTCACGGAAGATCTTCTATGTCGGCTTCGTGCAGGCAGGCATTTGGTCATCACTGACCATAGCCATTGGCCAGATGACCGGCAGGTACCCAGAACTCTTTGGGACAGGTGAGTTTGCTGTCGACTGCAGGCTGATTCTGTCTACTTTAAGCTTCATGTTCAATTTCGGCCTGTCCGCACAAATCAGTCTATGCAGTACATTCAGCTTACAACAAATCTTGAAAATGCTGTTTGCCTCATTTGCTCTTTCTATTTCGCTAAATTGTGAGGTGTTTTGGTAATTCTTCAATTTTCATGCTTAAGCAAATGTCCGTTTTACATGAGCCATACTGTGATGTCATTCCATAGAGAAAATCTCAATGTTGCATTGTTGGAGGTTGTGTAATTTTCATTCATTATTTCCATGATGTATAAATTCCATTCATCTGCGGGAAAAAAATAATGATGATCCATCAGTACTTCTAATGAAAACGATTGAGGCTCACACAGTTGTGTTCAAACTATCTTATTTTCAGGTGTTTCTAATTCTAATCCAATTCTGGCCGTTTAAAACGTATTGACCAATTGAAAGAAACCAACAGTCTTGCCTTGTCCAAGCTCCGAATTCACCCAGTCATTGGTGGATTTTTGGTTTCTCTTTCCGCGCGGATTTGTAGAGCCAGATGTTGACTATATACCAGAGCTGACTACCCAGGGTGCACTGTGGTTCTCAGACCTGACGCAGTTTGACTTCCTGATGCCTGTAATGCTTGGCTTGGTCAATCTAGCCCTAGTTGAGGTGAGCTTTCAAATGCTAATTTACAAATTTGACCAGATCCAATAGGGCTGAGATTTGTCGGGAATTTTCCCGATTTTAGGACTTTTCTCTCATCAGGATTTCCCTGATTTCAGGATCTGGAAAATCCTGAGTTTACCATTAACCACTCCCTGCTGGGGATTCCGGATCCGGACATGTATGCTTTAGGGCCGGCGACCATTTAGACCTGGTTTGAAAAGGGCCCACGGTAGCCCACCCTGTATAATGCCTGCCCGGTATTCAGGCTACTCCAGGCCGGTACCAGGCCTGTCTGCACATTGGCATTTCAAAGTCCCTGATGAAAGGCTTCCCCCACCGTGCTTCCACAGATGAATAGGGGTCTAAGCGGATTAGTGTAAACATTGTATAGAGCTGAAGGATTAAAAACCACAAGCAGGTTCCTTCTGGGATAGATTAAATGTACCAGTACTTGCAAACAATAGACCCCAGGATGGAGAAGTTCGAGATCAACAACCAGTCCAGCATCCCAGGGTTTTTGCAACAGGGCGAGCTTACCGGGGGCCCTTTTCAAACCGGGTCTAAATGGTCGTCGACCCTTATATGCATGGCCGGGGTCTCCGAACTCGGACAAAGGGAACAGGGCCTTGTAACAAAAGACCATACCCGGAACAGAAGACCAGGCTGATGGGAATTACCGACATTTTTTCACTCTCAAAAGTGGAGATAATCCAGCCTTGTTTTGAAACAGTATACCAGGGTTTGGGGCATTGAGAGCGAGCAGATTACCACCGGTGAGTCACACAGCACCGCTGCGTGCTAATCTGGCCCCTTTTGAAAAGAGGTCAGCAGCACACTGAGCCAGGTTCGTGAACAAAAGAAAGTAATATAACACCGCACAATCTGGGCTCTTTTTACAAGGCTGCAGGCCTGGCTGAAATACTCAGGCGTCAATAGATTTTGTCTGTCAGGCTAGAGTGGACGCCAGACAGTCCTTCATGTCCTTCATGTGTTTGTAAGTGTCCAGTAAATGAAAACAGAAAAAAATGATAATATCCCGGCCCAGCATCATCAACATTGATAACTGCCCCGGCAGGAAGTGGTTAAGTTGTTTTTATAGTTGATAGAGAACACATAAAATATCTGTATTTTAAGGAGTGCCGTGAGGCAAACTTAATGTACACCATAGACCCCTGTGCCGCTGTGGGGGCTTGGAACTTCTGGTGAGTATTTGGTGGATGTTGTTTTTATCCAATCTCGCCCCTGATCCTACAAATGAGTCTTAAAGACTGTTTTGCCTGTAACTTTGCTCTAGTCTGGATCACAAAGAGCAAACTGAGCCTTTCCTTTTGATGTATTTCTCTGCCTTGCATCTTGATGAAAATGGACACTATTTTAGTGACAAAAATTGATTGATTTGTGATTCTATTGATTTGTGATGTGCAAGATTCTTCTCAAAAGTCTTTAACTCAAAAGTAGCTCTGTTGACTTATGACTCATTTCGTCAGGCTGGGTCACAAATCTTGACAAGGCATTGCTCGGGAAAGACAGGATTTATTGAGTACATGGTTATACGGTACACAAGCATGTGAGACTTAAAATCCCGAGCGTTGTTATTTCTTCCATTATTCACCGTGCAGAAATGTAGACTGGGGTACCAATGGCTCTTGGGCACCAACTTTGAAATTTCTCTTGTAACGAGATCTAGAAATGCATGTACATGTTCTCATAACTGCCGTTTGTGAAGTTTGGTTGGAATTCATTCTTTCCCAGATGTGGTCGTTAAGGCGTGGCCCACTGACACTGTTACAACATCGGCTAGTTAACTGGTTCCGTCTTGTCTCCCTGGGAATGGTCCCCATAGCAACAATGATGCCAGCGGTAAGTCATTGTTTTTGAATTATATAACAGTTTTTGTATGTGCTGCATGCAGGAATAGAAAAGAGCAATGTACAGTCAACTCCGGCTAAGTCGGCACTCTCGGGACTCAAGAAATTATGACGACCTACGCGAATGTTGACTTGTGCTGTAAGTCGTCATTTTGCTGACTTACACGTACGCATGTACTGCCTACATGTATGTGCATTATGATTCCTTGCACTAATTCAATTGCTTTGATTTACCCTGGTTTCTTTCTACCTCCATGGTCAATCCCAGCAAATTTGTTCTCGATTAGTATCCTCACCGGCTGCAAATTCGATAACTGATCATGTGCCCCAAAGGACAAAGCAAGGACGGCAAGCCACTTGCATATCACATCACGACTCGACAGTGCAGTACACACATGCATGTGATACAGTTACGGTACAGAAAACATACCGTCATGTCAGAGCAACAAGGTCGTAACTCGCATTTATTTTTTATACAAGATACGGCCTTGTTGCTCTAACGTGACGATACACTCATCCGCACAAACATTGGTTAAGTTCGTTCAATAAGGCGAACCCCAAAATGGACTGGGTGCATGCGTGTAGCCCAAGAGGGGTTACTGGTATTGATGTATTCAGGCTGGCCGATTATCAATCATGGCCTGTGCCGAACACAAAGGAATTTTTGTGGTTTTGTGGAAAAGGGACCAAGAAAAACGTGCAAACTTTACGAAATGAACTTTTCAATGGAAATGCATTACAGATATTCGGGACTTTTGTCAAAAGGCAAAGATGATTTTGTCAAAGACTATATGACGAGTTACGCGATACTGACTTAGTCGCAGTTTACTGTAGCTTGTAGTCAGTGTTATAGTGTTATTTGTCTCAACAGACCTAGGAAATGACTAAGTCCCAATTTC